TTCATCTCGGGTCGTCATTGCCCATGTTTCCGATCCGTATGTGAGCACTGGGCGTATTATTGTTTTATAAAGTTTGCACTTTGTTGCTATTGACATACTTCTCGCTCTTAGTTGAGGGCCCAGGCCAAATAACAGCGGTTAGCCACGCATATTCTTTTTTTATCTCGTTTTCCTCCGTAGTATTTGCTACTATTTACCAGAAACATAGAAGGATGTACTACGCTTTTGAAGTATTTGCTGGTTTAGTAGAATTTGCTTCAGTTTAGGTGAAGTTGTTGGATGAACCACTTCGGCGTAGGTGTTTTTTGTTAAAAAATGGCAGCATTTATGAATGTTTGACGTAGAAAAATCTACAAACCAGGAAGAATATAGAATGACAATATTTATCGTAAAATATTCAGGTAGTTATCATAAATCGTGCAGTTTTATTCATACAGTGCGCTGGAATAAGTGTTACCCCCATATTAACTCATTTATTTTTATTATATAAGCAAAACGCTCTGAGAGGTCGATTTTTAAAATAATCATTGTATATTATAGCAGCAATGTTTCGAACTTAAAGCAATCCTTCTTCAGGTGCCTGTCATAACTTTGATTTTTTAAATGGGAAAGTAGGTAGTAAATCATCCGTACCATGATTTTCATCCAGTTCAAAGTGTAGTGCAAAATGCAAATGAAGAGATACCTGAAGGAAATCAAGCATAAATTGAAAATCGAGGCACACAACGTACAATGAGGTTGCGGAGGCTCTATTTCGTAATGCCAACTAACACAAATATTATTAAAAAAAATACCGTAGGTACAGGGTCTAATAAAAATTCGTAACGAATATTTTGATTTTTCTTCTATTAATATTAAACAATAATAAAATACAACATAATAACATAGTTATTTAATATTTAGTTTATAACTTTGTTTTTATAAAAATACATATCTACATACAAATTTTGTCACTGTACCATATCACGTTGAACTATATGGTTGACTAATTGCTCACCAGCTTCAACAAACTTCATCAATGCATTCGCGGCTCATTCCTGAGCTTCTGCTGAAGACTGTTGAGCTCGAGCAAAAGAAATTTGAGCTTCGGCTCTTTAATTTGTTTTCGTAAGCAGGTTTTCTGTAGTTTACTAGGATATTTGAGAGCTTTGCCTGTTAGTTTTTGGCAACCAGAATTGGAGCTAAAAAGAACGTTTTCATCATTATTTTTTTGTGATGAAACCCCAATCTCCTGTGTTACAACGGCCTGACATGCACCTGGTATCCTGTGCAAGACTGGATTTTCTCCAATGTTCCATAACTCATAGAATTTTCTTTGCCAGTCAGTTAGTATTATTTTTTGTTACCAGTTTTTTATACGTCAACAATTTTTTAACCTTTGTTTTCATGTTGTTGAATTTCTTCATAATTTGTTTTGAATGCAGTTTTTTTTTCGATAATTTCATTAAAGGCAGCAGTTAATTCATTCAATGCAGTTTCCTTTACATGTTTAATATTTAAGATCATTCTTTGAAGCATATGAAAAACCACATAAAAAACTAGTTCTAATAACATTGGTATGATGCGCACAAGGACACTAGGCTGGCGCTTTAGTAGTAGATCCTTCAGGTCAGTAGCAAGTACTTCGGTTGTGTGGTACTGTCTTTTCAACAAAGCATCTCCTTTTTTGTAAAAAAAATGCTACAAACTAGATACTATTTTCTGAAGCAATAGCATCTACTATTTAGCATATGGATACATATAGCATACGTTTTATGCATTCCACCCATTGTTTAGACTTCTTTCTGATTACTTTTATTCTAAACTGCAAACAATTTTACAATACTTCATAACAACTCTAACTGCATGACAGATCTATATAAACATTCAATTACTATTAATACTTGAACTGACATCTTCCTGTTTATACAGATTGAACCAAATTAAAACGGAACATACAATTTAATACATGTCTGTTTGAACTGCATTTAAAATAGTGGACCAATATAAAACTTGGACAAACATAAATCCATAGTTACCTGGGTATAGACATTGTATAAAATATCGTTCAACTATCTGTCTCACAACAATGTTGTTTGTGTAAGACGGGTTTGTCTAAGGTAGCGATTATAGTTCAGGAAATGAAACTCGAAAAAAGTTAAAACCTCGCAATTTTTTCGTCCTGCATGTATCCAGTTAAAATTTTAACAGAAGGTAGGTGATAGCCCAAGGATCAAAATCAATATCGAACCGAAGTGCGCTGAAGGGTTACAGGGCTGAAAACTACCCCTAATTGTCAAAAATTCTAAAATAACATATTAAACCTGAATATGGGTAAGATTTGGTTTTAATTAGTTAAATAATGATTATTTTATACTTTTGAATAAAGTTCCATCATATTTCAACCCTTAAAAAGCAGCGCTTGTTAGAGATTAATGTAAAAAAATTACTAATTCTAAAAAAATGATTTCGCCTTGGATCGATTTGGATAAAAATTTGGATTTAAGCTCAATTCACCCGCTGCTTTATAGTTTATGTCATGTCGACGAACCCTGATTGTTCTTAGGGGTGAAAACTACCCGTAATTGTCAAAAATTATAAAATAACATATTAAACCTGAATATGGGTAAAATTTGGTTTGAATTAATGAAATAATGATAGTTTCGTGCTTTTGAGTAAAGTTCCATCATATTTCAACCCTTAAAAAGCGAGCCTTATTAGAGATTAATATAAAAAAATTAGTAATGCGAAGAAAATGATTTCATCTTGGAACGATTTGCATAAAAATTTGGAATTAAGCTCAACTCACCCTCTGCTTTATAGTTTATGTCATGCCGATGAACCCTGATTGTTCTTAGGGGTGAAAACTACCCCTAATTTTCAAAAATTGTAAAATAATATTATAAATCTTAAGATGAGTGAAATTTGGTTTGGATTAGTTAAATAGTGATTTTTGTATACTTTAAAATACAAATTCATACATTTTCAACCCTTAAAAATCAATTGTTATGAGTGCTATAGGTGAAAACAATTTTTTGCCAAAATTTTGCAACTTTTCAACTTTTGAAAATCACCCTTTACAACATTAAAGTTTTTATAAACTAATTTATAAGATATAAATTGAAAAAAGTAGAATTAAATACAAAAAAATTTATCAACATAAAAAGGCACCATATATTCTTATACATTTACATAAATAATGGAATTGGATTACTAATGGAATTTTCCGGAAAAAATTTCACTGTTTTTTTAACGTATTTCCTTTAATTTTTAACGATAGAGTGTTTCTTCAAAAACGATTTGTAGAGGTTTTTAAGAGCTACAAGGATCTGTGAATTAAATCTTTTTGGAACCCTTGGTTTTTAAATGGGGTGAGTTTAAAGGGCTCGAAAAAGATGGTGCTTGATCGTAAATCGATGCTTTAAACGGCTATATCTCGCCAAATATTCATTGTACAACAAATCTAAATGAAGGATAATTTTAGTCATTAAAAAAGCTACAATTTGGTAATTTGTATTTTTTTCATATATTCAGTATTTTCGGGCATATTTAAAAAAAGAAGGGTAAAAAATATGAAATTGTAAATCGTTTCTCGCTTTAAGCTGTACTTTTTCTAACACAAAGCATTTTAAATGGGTCAAACTTCTTGGACCTATTAACAATACATGTACAAAGGAATTTCAGAAGGGTGAAGATCGATTTTAATTATGGGGTGGTTAGGGGGTTGTTTTCATCGATTTTTTCGTAAAAAATGAGGTATTGACCTTATTTTCATCATAACTCACTCAATTTTTGAGCTAGAGTCTTTTTTATGATAGGTCTATTTATGCTCTTTAAAAAAGGTTTTGTGAGTTTTCTTCCAAAAATGCATCATTTTCCCGATATTTGATTTTGAATCTTTCAAATTTGGCATTTGAAGAAAACCGCTGAACATTGATAGGCCGTATTTCGGTTCCTATTATATCGCAAAAACATTTTAAAAATGAATTGTATTTGTCTTTTTAAAAGCTACAAATTTTTTCTCTACAATTTTTTTGATAAAATGTACCATTTTCGAATTATTCGCGAAAAATCGATTAAAAACGTGGATTTTTTCGTCTAAAACTTATTACTTTCAATCGCGAATAACTTGAAAAATATCATTTTATAAAAAAAATGTATAGCACATTTTTGTTTAGAATCACTTTTTTAATCGAAACCTGTAGTTAAAACGTAAAAAAAATTTTCACCCCGGAGATGGGGTGGCAACCACCCCCTAGGCTTTGGCGCACTTTGGTTCGATATAGATTTTGATCCTTAGGCTATTACCTACCTTCTGTTAAATTTCAAGTCAATCCACGGAGCACGAAAAAATTGCGAGGTGAAATGCTTCATTTCCTGGACTATAACTGGTTTGACAGCATAAATTGTAGATTTATGTGTAGCTTTCAATTTTTATGAGTTCAGAATCCAGCAGCCCGCTGAAGTATTGGATTTTTATAATATAATTATTTGACAATCTTTTGTTAGCCAACCACTTACAGCAGAATTGAGCCGAAATACATTATATTCCTATGTTCCGAATTTATTTCGTTCAATCTGTATACATTTTTTGACGTTCCAAACCTCATGAGCTTTGGGGTATTTCCAAGTATCAAGAACATGCGCATTTTCAATATATCTTTTTTGTAAAGGGACTTCCGTGAAACAATTTTAAGATACATTTTAAAGTTTTCTTCGTACATTGACTCGTTTGGGCTTTATTATAAATTTATTTTTTAACCTCTCATTTATTATTGTTATATAAATAAACCAAAGATGAAAAGCCCAGCCTCTCCAGTGATCAAGCCAGTGCAAAAATCAAAATTCTCGTCAAATCATCTACATATCGTTTGTTGTTTTAAAAATATATAATTTAATCGAATTACTACTAGAAGTTTTTTTTTTGTCATATCATTATAGATAATTACATAATTATTGAATCAATAGAAAATATGAAGGTCAACAATAAACACCAGCCGGTTCGATAGAATGTAGAATTACTCTGAAGTAAACACAACAATATCATTTTGTTTTACAAACGAAAAATGGGATCGTTGCTTGCTGTGCCATGTACTTCAAAAGCGAGATTGGATGGAAAAACGGCCGTGATAACAGGAGCTAATACAGGAATCGGAAAAGTAACGGCCAAAGACTTTTATAAACGAGGTAAGTAAATGTATATAATAATTGTTAAAATATTTTTGTTTTGGTCTCATATACATTGAATTAAAAATCAAAGTGAAAGGAACAAGGTGAAATTGTGTTCCTCCTAAACTTTTTCATACATATTTATACACAATTCAGTTCGGCATGATTTATTCCTTTTTTTCTATAATAATAAAATTAACATTCAAGAATTTTCCCTAAATTGGTAAGAAACGATTTTTATATGTTATTAAAAGTGGTATACGAGCAAACATTAATTCGCTAATTAAATATAGTAAACAACTTTAAAGTCTAACAATAAAAATTTAACAAGTTTCTGTTCTGCTACAAAATTTTTCTGTTTAATTGGCCTATATTGTCTAAACTTGGAGATCCTGCTTAAAATCCTAAAAAATCGAGAAGTGTTTCTTCCGAAAATTCACCATCTGCATCAATAGCTGTTCTGTGGTTCCAGTAAAGTTTCTTTTTTTGTTGTTGTGATATTTTTATTCCCCAATATTTTTATTAGTTTCATATTACGTAATTTCATTAGTATCAAACACGTTGTGGTGATCAACAAAATACGTATATATAGCGACTGTCACATTTATACATCTTTCAAGTTTCTTTTTAGAGCTTTCTAGTTTAGATTTTTCTAAGATTGGAACTAATCTTATCAATAAAAGCTTTTCGAATACCTTTGATAGAACTGGCAGCAAAGCTAGGTCTATTGGATTTTAGGCCTTTTGGTTTTTTTCCAGGTTTTTGTGTCAGATAATCTGTGAAATTTTTCATTGACTCGGAAAGTAGCCTGTTCTGATGATGGCGTTGAAAATACGCTGCATATTTTTGTACCCTTCTACTGTACATTCTTGCAATAACTTGTCTGTTATAAGATCAAGCCCTGCTGCTTTTTTATGCTTTTAAATTTTTTGTAATGGTATTTCTCATTTCAGTAAGCGTGCACTTTTAATCGTATGTCAGTTGAAGCGACTTCTAAGGAGTTATCAATCTCGCTATAATTGTCATTGAGATATGGTTCAGCAAAGGCTGCGGCTTTTTTTGTTATCTCTGACCCATTTACTCTGCTTGCTTTGTATTGCACGACACCATTGTTGTAGTTTTTTTTAGCTTTTCTGTTGCCTTTCAAAGTGAGTAGCTTGTATCTTCAAAGGCTTCAAGAGAACTTAGGTAATTTTCAATATTTGTTTTTGATATTATTTAGTAACTTTGTAGTTATTTATATGTTTCTCATGTCTTCATCCATGTTATCAAGAAACTTTGTTCTGGGTCTTCCTCTTCTTCTCTAACCAGTGGGTCTATCAAGGCTCGTTTTTCTAGCTGGGTCATTTTGTTCCATCCACATTTCATGCTCTATCCACCTCAGGTGTTCGATCTTAATATGTTACTATATCAGATTTTTGGCATATTCTATAAAGTTCGATTAGCAAATAAGATTCTCAAAACACAGTTGTCGTAACTTTTTCTGCTGTCAAAGCAGTTTTCTAAAGCAAATTTTGTCGAACTCAAGCTCTTCTTTATTAAGTTACCGAAATTGCTGAAAAATTATTGTAAATACTTTTTTATTTTGTAGGAGCAACCGTAATCATCGCATGCAGAAACTTAGATAAAGCAAATGAAGCTATCCAGGAAATAAAACAAGATTGTCAAGGTCAAGAAAATTTGGGGCAGCTAAAATCCACTAAACTTGATCTTTCAAGTCTACAGTCCGTAAGAGCATGTGCTGAAGAACTGAACAAAGCCGATCATAACATAAACCTTCTTGTGAATAATGCGGGAGTAATGGCAGTTCCCTTTAGCAAAACAGTCGATGGCTTCGAACTTACTTTTGGTACCAATCATCTCGGTCCCTATTTGCTGACGATACTGTTATTACCTAAGATTATACAAAGTGGACCAGGTGCTAGGATTGTTAATGTTTCTTCTTCAGTGCATCAAAGTAAGTTTGTATCTTAAAACTCTTTATCTCTTGGTTCTAGTTGCTTATGAATTTTCAGCAAAATAAATTACAAGGACACATTCCTTGGGGCTAAATGTATAAGGTATTTGTAGAAACTACTAGATAACATTAGAGACTAAATTATTACAAAATTGCAATGAAGATAAAATTTAAAATTTTCGATTTAGTACACCTTCTCCAATAAATTCATAAGATATCGCAAATTATATCAGTCTGTAGTGACATTTTGTCGATGATCAATTGAGAGGTTTGGCAGTAATTAATAGTAAGGGACAATAAAAAAGATTTGAGTTTTAAAGTGTTGAATTTTGAAAAAAATATTTATTAAAAAATATAAAACTATGAATTATGCTAAAATTAGCTGAATAAGTTGTTAATCAATAGGTAAAATATGAAATACCAAATATTTTTTTTACAATGTTTATTGATGAAAATATGTAAACAATAAACTTAACATTAATTAACATTATTTACCTAAAATATTTGAAAAAGTTTAACGTAACATGTTACGTGGTGTTGACTTAACATAATTTGGTAGGTACTAGGAGCTTATTTTAAATTTATATACCATTCGTGATAAATAGTGGAATCCATTCCAAGAATAATTTTACATATTTCAGTTTTCTGGTGAATACTAAGGGAATGATTATATTTTTGAGTAAGTGTAGAAATTTTTCTTCTGCAGCTGTTGCTCTTCCTCTTTTATTCAAGGACATGGAATTAAATAATCCGTTGTATGATGCTGAATATTGTATATTTTTGGGAACTTCTGAATATAGGCAGAATTTCACACTACTTAATAAAATACCTACCGGTTGATTAAATAGCTTTTCAGTACTGAACAATTTATATATCCTCTTGCTGGACCCTAGTTACTAGAAAAGGTTTCTTTTTCTGATACTTCTTTAAAATATCTTCCCAGTTATTGGGATATTTAATATATGAACTATCTCTTTAAAATAGTCATTTTGTAAAAGATAATGCCAAATACCAATGATGGTCCAGTTTTTATTTTGTCCGCAGCAATTGTCCGAAATAGCTTAGTTTTTTGCCACTAATATTATTTTTCTCAAAGTACATTTTGAGAGAGACTATTTCGTCTGACCCTCTTTTAGCACTGGATTCATCCCACATAAAAAAGTGACCCTGACCATCTCCAAAGGAATGTATGCTTAAATTACAACATCACAGTTTTCTCTTATAGAACATGGGACCAGTGGTAAGCTTTGGTGTGGGAAGGGTTTGCTGTAGATCAAAACTATTGCATGCACATCTGGGTCTAAGTTTGCTTCCTCTACTGCGTCTCTGACTGCCTGTTGACCTGCTTCAGCTTTTCTATGATGTAATTCTCCTTCAGTTTTATTTTTTTTAACCTCAGTTTCATCATTGTGTAACTTAGCATTTTCTAAAGCTACTGAAAACTTATCACACGTTTGACATATATCCATTCCGGGAATTTTGAAACTTATAAATATATTCTTCAGTATATATTCTTCTGAATTTATCTGCAGAAACTGGAGTTTTCTTTTTCAAAATGCATTCTTCTACATATTTCTCATAACAAGTCTGAGTAGAATATTCCATACTCATATATTATTGTCTAGAGCTGTCAGCACGGGTGTAATGGTTTTTGCACTTAGATAGCTTTCAATAAAAGATTTCAGAAAATCTATATCAGAATTGGAATATTTTTTAGAATGATTTTGGAGTATCTGATGCAGTTTTTAATGGTTTTACTAGATATTACTTTTTCTGTAAGCCATAAATACTTAGAAAAGCCAATTTTCATATCTTAGGTATTTTAGTTTATCTTAATTAAAATACTTAAGATAAACTTTTAGTTTATCTTGTTAGTCAAATTTTTAGATCTCATACAACCTTGTAAGTAAGCATTTTGTTTATCAAAACTATTCATGCCCCAAAAATTTACAAAAATTGTCTGCAGTTCCTCATGAGATGTTGCGTGTTTTTGTGTTTTTAATAAAACAATATTTCCCTTACATCTGTATTGTTTATATTTTTTTCCGCGATTTCTGAGCTCTCTTGTTTTTGATTGCTTACTTAAATTTCATTTCCTTTTTCTAAATTTTGTTTCTGAAACAGAATCTTCTTTTTCTTGTTTACTGTTTTTATTTAATTCTCCTCTATTTTCTTTTTCTTTTTCCCCTTCTTCTTCAGCACGGGACTCTGGGTATATGTGATAAGAAATTTCTTGAAGTCCATGTTCGTTGAAAAATTTTCTAAAAATACATAAAAATAATATTAAGTATTATAGCGATGCAGAGAATTCATTTTCATATTTGCAAGTAAAAAATGTTAAGTTTTTGTCAATGTGGATGTAAACAATGTTAAGTACATCCTTTACCATTTTTTACTTGCAAAAAATATTCTAAGAATATAAATAAATTACCCTCTTTGTAGAAAGTTAATCGAGCTAGCAGAATAATTGTCACTATTAACATCAAAAAAGCCATTTCGATTTGAACAACCCGCTTTGTCTTCCGCCATCATGGACACATAACATTAATGTCATACTTGTCTTTCATTTCATTTCTTTACTTATATATATACCTGGAGAAAATGGAGATGGCTGGGCCACACACTCCGTAGACTGCCAAATGACATTGCCAGGACAGCGCTGGATTGGAATCCCCAAGGCCGACGGAAAGTAGGCAGACCTCAGGGAACTTGGAGAAGGACAGTACTGGACGAAGGGAGAAAAATGGGAAAATTCTGGCTTGAAATCAAAGCACTAGCCAGAAATAGAGTTCGCTGGAGACACTTTGTGGAAGCCCTATGTTCCTCTTAGGAATCTTGGGACTATGTATACTTATATATACCTAATTTATGTTGTCTTTGCAAATCTCTGCATTGCATGTCTCTTACCAAATATTAAGAAATTAATCTGGCGCCATCTATTATTCGTAGGATAAAATAAGTAAAGTTTTCTGCGTTACCATGACAAATCAAAATTTGTCCATTACGATTGTTTACTACCAAGCCAATCAATTAATACATTTGTCAATTTGTCATCGATCACAAAAATATAATTTTTTGTTTTTATTTTAGTGACATGCAGTGGACCAGATTTCGACGATTTGAACTTTGAAAAAAGAAAATTTAATACTAACCAGGCTTACATATACAGCAAATTGGCAAATATTTTCTTCACCAGAGAGCTACATCGAAGACTCAGAGGTATAATAAATATTATTATATTATTAGAGATAAAGAATAGTTGGAAAAAGAATAGAGTGAAAACTGTGGATTTCCTTAGTAGTTAAGGATTAATGTTAATCTTAGCTTTTGTTTTGTTAGTAAAAAAAAACAAAAAATAAAATGTAAAGTAACTCATTCCAGAACGAATCCTTGAAAAAATTTAAGTCTTGGTATAAAAAAATACGGATTAATGTCAAAAGTATCAGTTTAAAATAACTGCATCATTGTTTAAACATTTTATAAAAAAAATTTTTTTTAATATTTATTTTCTAGTTAGAAGTTTCATTTCTGATTTTTTTAAAAGTTTATGAAAAAATGATTCATTTGATTCATTCTAAATTAAATTTGGTCAATAATTTATTTAAACGATTGCGAAAAACTGCAAAAACCTTGGCCTGGGAAAATTTTTCGGACCGTGGACAAAAGGCGGCTTTTAACTGTCATGCCTGTCATTTATTTTTCTTCTGTCAATTGTCAATTTCGTCTTCTCGTCGTGTAGCTATCACGTTTTCTTTTCGTCTATACTTTCGACAAAAAGAAACTATGACGTATAATCTTTCCGTCTGTTACTTCTTGTAATATACAAGGTTTAGTCAAAAAGTCAAAACAGTTCATGTTATATAGAGGATAGTTGCGAGGTGTCTGAAAAGGATTTTAGTGAATAGACTGAAACGATGTAGAAAAATCAGAAATCATCGAGCATTACATCATAAAGCAGTGATATTAGGGATCGGATAAGCAACATTATTAGGGATAGGGCATAAGCAACATTAGGGATGGGGATCATTAGGAATGGTGATAAACAACATTCTTAGGGATAAAGATAAGCAGGGATAGGTCACTGCACTTATATGTGCTAGTTATATGAAATAATTAACAGTTGTTTGTTCTGTGTAAAAGGCTATCTGGTCGAAGTTCTGGTCCAAGTCGGCTTGGATCTTTAAACACATCTTGTGATGCCATTTTGACTGAAATAATAATATACTTTTCCGCAAATCGCCAGGAAATTTTGACATTCCTGTCAAAATTTCTTGAAGAAAAAGTCAGGACTTCCTTACTGTAAGGAAATGTCATTTCCTTACTGTAAGGAAATGATATTTCCGTACAGTTGTTAGTGTTCTACATAAATGATAGAAAACACATTGATTATAAGGAATTAATTTATATTTTGAAAACATCAAGTCATTGCTGAATACATTTTTAAGATCAATTTGTTATATTTACAGTAAATTTGACAGTTAGTACAATTATTGAACATTGGAGGAACACTCTTAGAACTATGAGAAACATTTTGGACAACATGCAGGGTGGAAGTGTCATTTTGTTGAATATTTTTTACTGTGAAAATTTTATTTGCCACCTCAACCTTATTGTTAAGCGATTCTTCGATATATCCTTCAGCAACGTTTGATGACTTCCATCCGCCATGCCTCTTTAAACTAGTTATGTCGGCACCAGAGTCAACCAATATTGTTGCAGAAGACCGACGAAAGCAGTGACCAGTATATTTTGTCGGATTTCCCAAGTTCAAATAAGTAGCAATTATTTTGGGCATTTTTCTAAATTGATGAATTCCTACCACTTGTCTACAAACCTTTCCGCTTTGATATTTAAAGAAAAATCGGTCACTGTTCATATTTTCTGGTCTTAACGAAACATACTTTCGATAAACATTCAAGTAGATCTGATTAATTACAAATGATCTTGGTTTGTTGGTTTTCGAATCAGGTATGCTGATTAAAAGCTTAGATTCTAAGTCTTCTATATCGTGTACAGTCATTCGGACTAACTCATCCATTCTACAGGCCCCAGAAATACCAAATATTACAGCCACCTAAAAAATAAATAAAGCTATAATCTAAATAGAAATTAAAACCTTGTAAATTACCTTAATCATTAAATTTTCTTTATCTGGAGCTTCCTGGATAATTTTTTTAATTTCTTCCTTTGTTAAAATCTTAGATTTCTTTGCCCTATAACCTTGAGCTTGCCGTTTCAATAAAGAACGAAGTTTTGAGTATGTAGATATATCTACATTGTGTTTAAGTGCAAGGGTTGACTTCAGCATTGAATTATTGGCCCATAATGTTGAAGACTTCATCTTTAAACAAAGGTCTAGGAAGTATGCTATTACAACATTTTCTGAGAAAGAACTCGTATTTTTACTCATGCGATAATCCATAAAACGTCTGTATGCATTTTCGTACTTTTCTCTTGATTTCTTTGGCAATAATTCTAATGAAGCAGTATTCACTGCCTCAACCAGCTCTGGAGGAGTCCCAGGAATGGAAATTTCATCATCACTTATCATTTTACTTTCGAGAACACCAGCAATTAAATTTATAAGCGTCACGTTTGACAATTCAACCTCAATACGTTTCCATAGTAACCCAAGTAATTTTATTAGGAATTTCAAAGCACCATTTATTTGGGAATAAAATTATCGCTTTTTTTTAAAATCAATTTAAATCAATCAATTTAAAATCAATATCTGTCGAATTTTAAACGATTTGCGGAAAAATAGTATGTTTACCTCGTAGGAAAAGCCACATTCCTGGACTCTGTGTTGCTAAGTCTCGGCTTGCGCCTCGACTTAGCAATCTTCACAGTCGTCCAGGAATGTTAACCTTTTCCTACCCGGTAAACAATGTACTATTCTTTAACCAATTTCTTATTCCTCTGTAACGAAAAAACGGCTAGCTGTCAGATTTTGCGATACACGAGATTTTACTTTTGGATGCCGGGTTATCAAATGTTAATATTATCTATTTTTAAAAATTCCATTCTTAAATGGATTAGCTCATTTCAGATTTTTAATGAGCACTGCTATGGTGTTAATAAGCTGATCGCGTGTCAGGGTGTAACGGCTAGCTTGTCCATTGCACATTAAAACCCCTCAGGGGTGTTCTTCGGCATAAACTAATTATTTTGGAGAAATCGGGAATTATTAATAAAATAGGTTTTCAACACATCTCTTTATTAATTGATAAATTAATTAGGTTATTAATTAGGTTGAGGTTTTATTAACAGGTAATTAAGCATCTATACACAAATTCAAAGAAAGAAAGAAACTTAGCTTAACTTCCATAAGAGATACTGCTGTTGCTCTCTTCTCAACTCGATCCATAAATTATCTGCATCAAAACCATGCCTCTATTTTCTTAAACCAAAACCATGTGGATTTTCTTAAACCAAAGCCATGCGGATTCTTAAACCAAAACCATGTGGATTTTCTTAAACCAAAACCATGTGGATTTTCTTAAACCAAAACAAGGTGTATTTTCTCAAATCTAAACTAGGTGTTTTTTCTCAAACCTAAACCAGGTGTATTTTCTCAAATCTAAACCAGGTGGCTGGAAAAACAAAAGCCGATATAAAATTTGTCATGACACGAGTTTTGTACAACAGAAGAATTCTGGCAAGCGGAAAGCTCTTCTCTCTTAAGACCTTGCATACCGATTCAGAATTCTCTGATGTTGCCAAAATCCATGAATTAGCAATTACAGTTAATAGATTAATTAATTATTAAATGGAAAACGAAAAAGCAAAGTTGTACGATTAATGGTAGTGAGATTTATATTGAATTATTATTATTATTACAGCAAGTATAGGTCAAAAGAAAATAATAAAAAAAGTAAAATAATGTACTAGCGTACACACAATTAGAAGAAAAACTAACAGAGCTCATGTTCTTGATTAATGTATGAAAATATGTTGTCTTGTAAAAAGAACAAAGTATTAAACTTACCCAGACTGTTGGAAGTTTCTGACCACGAAGATTTATTTTTATTGAGTACCTTGTTGGTTGCTGGTTTATTTTAAAAAGAAAGTAAATCGAATCGGATTTATACAAGTAAATTATTAAGTAGTGGGGTTTCTGTCTCTTGTATGACAAATTAAGCGCAGGTAGAACTACAAGGGGACTTAAGAAATTAATCGATGAATTTATTTGTAGTAGGAAAATATTGAAATGAAATATAGGAATAAAAACAAAGGAAAAAGAAGTTATTATCAACGATAATCAAATAGTACGAGCAGAAAATAATGGAAAGTACTTTGAAATTAATAAGAACAAAAATGTAACGTTTTAATCGTACAACGGGAATACCCGCCACAGCCAAACGAATCACGAATTTGTATAGGTCGTTAATAGGTAGTTTTACCTTAGTAATTTGTGGTGATTTTTGCTATAAAATCAATTTTTAAACAATGATGCAATTATTTTTAAGTTATACTTTTGACATAAATCCATATTTTCATACCAAAACTTCAATTTTTTCGAAGATTCGTTCTGAAACATACATGTATAATAATATTTTTTTAACTATAAAAACTTTTACGTCTTTCAGATCACGGTATCGACGGAGTAAATGTTTACGCCCTCCATCCTGGTGCAATCCAAACAGAATTAAGTCGAAGCTTGAACGAATCGATGTTTCCAGGAGCTCGATTCATTTTGAGAGACGTCGTTGGGGGAATCTTCTTCAAGACCCCAGAGCAAGGTGCCCAGACGCAGATTCATTGCTCAGTCGACGAAAAATGCGCTGACCAGAGCGGATTATATTACAGTGAATGCAAACCTGTTCAGCCTTCGAAGGTTGCGTTGAACGACGAAATGGCAGCGAAGATGTGGGATGTTAGTTGGAAACTGGTCGGATTAGAGGAGAACTATGATCCATTTAAACACGTAGTTAATAGCGGGATTTAAAAATAATATAGAAGTATTTGGATGCAGTAATAACATTCATCATTTGGTACAGGCATTATTATCTTTGTGATATGTATTTTTTATTTAAATATATATAATATATGTACGTTTAAAGGTTATTTAGGTTTAAATGTTGTAGCAGTTGTTTGTAAACAATAAACAATTTTTGACTACAGAATAAATTTTTATTACATGTTGTATTACTTCGCGTTAAAGATATCTAAAAAATGATTTGCAAAAGTTGTTTCAAAGAAACGTAAAACAGCAAATGCAAGAAGAAATAAACACAAAATTTAACGACATTGCAACACATAATAGGAAAGATATTGATACAATGTTGAACGAAATCAAATATGTATTAGTAACAACAACAATAAACAATATCAAACAGGAAAGACAAATAAAACAATCATGGATGACACATCAGAAATTAGAGCTTATGGAGCCAAGGAGAGTTTAAGAATAAAAAAGGTACTTAAAGGCACAAAAAGGTACTTAAAGAAATAAAATTAGCAAAACAATCCTGTCTGTTAGACAAATGCTTAGAAATAGAGATCCTGCAGAAAAAATATGATATATTCAATATGCACAGGAATATCAAAGAAATGGCAGGAATATATAGAGCAAAACAATGCCCACTGCACTGTTTGATAAAGATGAAAACATACTATTCAATACGCAAGAAAAACTAGACAGATGGCAGGAATATATAGCAGAACGTTCGTGAAACCACCATTAAGTTGACACGTGAAATGGACCAACAATAACAAAATCAGAAGTAAGATCTGCTATAAGTCGTCTAAAAAACAACAAAGCGCCAGGACCTGATGGAATATATGCTGAGGTATTGAAATTGATAGAAGACAATCAATTTGACATTATGACAGAATTACTTAACCGTATATATGAAACAGAAACTTTACCAAAAGATTGGTACATGTCCATATTTATACCACTGTCAAAAAAAGCAAATACTAAGAAATGTGAAGAACACCGAATCAATAGCCTCATGATTCACTCACTTAAAATATTCTTAAACATCATCCATGCTCGCATATACAAGAAATTGGAGGAGTGAATTGTTGATGTACAATTTGGATTTCGCAGCGGTCTTGGCACAAGAGAAGCACTTTTTAGCATACAAGTATTGATACAACGAGCAAGAGATGTTAATACAGATGTCTTTGCCTGTTTCATTCACTTCGAAAAGGCATTTGGCAAAGTACAGCATGTGTGGCTTATTGAAATTTTGCGAATCGCAAACATCGATGACAAGGATATAAGAATAATAGCCAATATCTATAGAAAACAAGTAGCCAAGATTCGAGTAGACAATCAATTATCCGATGAAGTCCCAATACAAAGAGGAGTACGACAAGGTTGCATACTCTCGCCTTTGCTGTTTAATGCGTACTCTGAACATTTATTTCGAGAAGCTTTGGGAGAAACGACTGATAGCGTGATTGTTAACGGTGAAGTAATAAATAATCTAAGATATGCAGACGATACTGTCCTTGTTGCGAATAGTGCTGAAGGATTACAAATACTGATAGATCAAGTAGTTTAGATAATGAGGTATTGGATAAAACAGAAAAAATGACATACCTAGGATGCAACATCATAGACAGCTGGGATCACTCATACTACAACAGATAAAGAAAATTATCTGCAATTTAACCTTGAACTTACATCTCCGACTTAAAATCTTAATTGTTATGTGTTTTCTGTTCTTATGTATGGATGCATGGATACTCACTGATGCATCTTGCAGATAGTTGCAGTCTTTTGAGATGTGGTGCTATCGTCGCATGCTCAGCATATCATATGTACATCATATAACTAATGACGCAGTAATGCAACGTTTACAAAAAGAACCTGAAGTCTTGAAATCCATTAAAGAGAGAAAGTTAGCATACTTTGGACATATAGTGAGAAATGAAAATAAATACAGAATACTACAATTGATATTAGAAGGGAAAATAGAAGGAAATAGAGGACCAGGACGTCGCCGAATATCCTGGTTTAAGAATTTGAGACAGTGGACAGGTATGACCACCACAAACCTATTGCGAATAGCTGCTAATAAAATACGATGGGCCATTGTGGTAGCCAACATCCATAGAGGGTAGGCACTAGCAGAGGAAGAATTAAAAAAATCATATAATTGTAAAGTGTTTTATTATTATTACTGTTTTAAGTTTTTACCACATAATTTCTACTAGTAAAAAAACCACCCCTTGCGAAGAAATTCGAATAGTTTTAGTATTTTTGTTTTTCATTGAAACTATCAATACAATATTGTTTTTAATCAAAATTTTACTTGATATTTAGTGTATGTTCATTATGTGATATTGGTAGAAAATGCGGAGAGAGGTGGTTAGAAAAAACTAGAACGTTTAAGACAATCCTTTGAAAATAAAGCTCAATAGGACAAAAACTTACCATCTACGATGTACATTTGAACATGAAGTTGCTACTACAAATAAAATAGTAACTTTGAACGTTAAAATTTTTGTATTAACTAATTGTTTGTGTATGAATGATTGGTATTATAAAAATGTGGAGAAACCGCTCATGATTTATTTGAACATGAAAAATTAAATTACTCTTCTACTTACTTTTATTTATCACCTATTTATCGTAGATATTACATTTAAGAGACTGATTAGTTGATAATGACTAGATCGTGTTGCAGCTCTGAAAGTACACGTGAATCAGAAAACACAATTAGACGTTGTGGGGGAAACCTATACTCGAAGTAATCTGATTATTGGCCCATAAAATATTATATCTTTATTTAATTAAACAAATTTAATTTACGACTTCTAAGAATATTCATTTAAATGTTTAAATGCTTTCTTTCGAGTCAATTTTGATAGTAATTAAACAAAAAATATAACAAAACCTCACGAAGGTTGCAATAAAAAATCAAGAACAGAATACAAAATTGATTTGGATGATATTTAGTGATATAAGGTTTTTATTACCAAATAATACATAATTTAGATTTTTTGGCAATAATCCAACCCAATTAAAATTGGCTCAAATACAATTTAACAATTTAGTTTTGAAAAGTATTAGCAAGAAAAAAAAACAAACTAATGTAGAGGGAGCTGAAAAGAAAACCGACACTTGAGCAAAGATAATGTCAAATATTGGGGAGTCTAGTTCATACAGAAGGAAGATCTATTTAAACACAATACACTACTAAGGGTGGTAAGCAAATATAGGACAACCTTAACAATTGCTGTACAAGTGTTATAGTGATAGCAGGAGTTGTATCAATCCAGTTAATGGTAATGGAGAGGGTGGACATGTAAGAGAAGATCGGACATAAAGAAGATGTAAAGAGAGAGTAAAGAAGAAAAAACAGTGGTAAAGAAAGAACTAAAGCAAATTGGACAAGGATGCTCATCCCCAACATAAAGCCCTGGGTAAATTGCAAATATATCCATTTTTAATTCACACAACGGTAATGGGTCTTGTAGAACCTATACTTCTACTAAACAAACAGTTTCTGTTAAAAATATGGACTAAAATGAATAGAAAAAAGACCAAATACATGATAATAACAAAGAAAAGAAGGGTTGATAAATACAAATACCTAGGATCTTGAATTTCAGACAATAATAATCAAACAACCGAAATAAGTGTTAGGATAAAAATAGCAAGAAATGCGTTTGTAAAAATGAAAACAATTCTCTGCAACACAGACCTTTAATTAGAACTGAGAGTAAGAGCACTGAGATGCTACGTGTTTTCGTTACTGCAATATGGACTTGAAAGCTGGACATTGAAGCAAGAAAACATAAATAAGTTACAGTCCTTTGAAATGTGGTTTTATAGGAGGATGCTTAGAATAGCATGGACACCGAAGAAAACTAACACGGAAGTATTGCGAGAAATGGACAAAAATACGAAATAATAAACACGTTAAAAATAAAAAATATTTGGACACGTAATGAGGGGACAGCGAATGAACTGCTAAGGCTGATAATACAGGGAAAGATAAGAGGAGGAAGGAGTATAGGAAGAAGGAGAGTGTCATCGTTGAAGAATTTATGGCACTGGTTTAAATGTAGTTCTATAGAACTCTTCAGAGTAGGAATAGATAGAGTAAAAATAGTTTTTAAACTTTTTTGGTTCTTTTTCGTTTGCTCACAAGATGGAAAAGACTTTTCAAAGTTAGATGTTGCAATCATATTTTGTATGTACGACCCTTGTCAATGTTGAAGTCGAATTTTTAAATGATTTTTTTACTTTATTGTTATGAAGGAAAAATTTTGCAGTCATGACAAAAAATACAAAGCAGTTTGTCGCCATTTTCAAACGAGTTGCAATTTGCTTATCTACAATTTACAAATCTCTGTATAAAAACATTAATGGGAATATAAAAAGTATTAAAAATGTTTTCGAAAACCCAGTTAAAAACTGTACCGCCAAACTGTACCAAATTCTTTTTGAAGGTATTTTTTTACAGATGAATTGACAAAAATTATTAGTGGTACAAACATTCGCCATGAAATGCCTTTTGTCTGATTTTACTTTTACAAACTTACCCGCTAACGTTTTTAAATATTTTATGATTATACAGTGATGGACTTGAGCACGATTACTCTTAAGCACTGCTCCCTGTAGTTGTGTTCTGCATTGGTTGACTTTCATCGGTTCTATCAGATACAGCTTTTTCAGAAACCTTGGTATTTGGTTGGTTCCCTCTTGCAGACTCCGACTGAGAGTTACCGGCTCTTGGACAGACTGGACCACGTCTGCGGTAGCGTGGTCTACCTTCTTGACCGTTTAGCAGCCTGGCCCTGGACCTCTATCGTAATTATGACGGAAAAAGCCACGTGGAAATCAACTACTACGTGGAGCATGTCCATTTTGTTCTAATTCTCCTGGCGGTCCGCGATAGAGTCCCCTGTATTATGAATATCCTCCACATCCTCGTCTTGGAGCATACCGACGTGGGTGTCCTTGGCCACCTTCACTGCCTGATTGTACCCCGATCCTTTAATTTGCGTTCACTTCGGCTTTTTCTTGGCGGTCCGCTGCCTCGACTAACCGCCACGACGTCCACCACGTCTTCCTCTCGGGTTAATACCACTGACGGAATCCTCCACCGTCGCCCATTGATCGGACGGCTTTCTTCGGGTTATTCTTTATTATGGCTGATTT